GGTTGCGGCGCTCATCTCGCTTTATTGGCCAAGGGAGCCGGCATACAGCTTCCGGGTCATGTGGCCAGCATGACCAAGCCGCTTCTGGCGAACCAGAGCAGCGCACGGAAACGCCGTTTACCTTCCCGCCGGAGCGGTACCTATTTATCTACTTGTACTTTGACGTGCTTTAGAACTGCTAGGTTGGCAGGAGCAGGGACTGAGCAACGGGAGCTCACCCCATCGTGGGGATTCGAACCGCCGACCTTCTGATTGGCAAGTCCTAGGTTCTGTGGTTTAACCCACAGTGACCCAGATTAAATGGGGAGGAAATACAAGTTGGCATTTTGATGCCATGTGGACACAAAGCAAAAACATGCACACAGGAGGAGCAGGGATGCCGCAATAAACACCCATCTAGAAGGAGCCCAAAGCGGTGCATATTTAGGAACTGGCTTGAAGCTTGAAGCAGAAACTCTTATAATTTTGTGTTGCCTCTGCAGCCTTGGAGCCACATACCTATCTGTTACAAGGTCTTTCTGATAGCGCTGTAGACACTTCTGCGGGTCATGAGCTCCTGACCTTGGTGTGTGTGTGTTTAACTCCCTTCCCCTTCGCGAATTAACTCCTGAACTATTGACATTTGCTCTGGACTGAGCAGCAGGAGGAGTTCAGCTGCATCTTGCACCACGGACTTCTCCCTCGCAGCCTCTCGCCCCCAGGAACCCGCAAAGAGGAGTAATTCTTTTCTCAACCTCAAGTCGTAAAACTGACCCTCTTGTAAAAAGGATCCAAATGACTCCGGTGCATTGTAAATAAGCCTGCGGTGTTAATAATTTACTCCTTGCCTCCATTTTGTTTGATTTTTTAAAAAATCTGTATTTTCAAAAAAAAGTCCAATAAATAAAATTTAAGAGAGACAGTGACAGAGACGATTCACCCCACTAGGGCAGCTGTTGCCGACCTGATGTACAGTGGTACTTAATTTGTTCCGGAGGTCTGTTCTTAACCTGAAACTGTTCTTAACCTGAAGCACCACTTTAGCTAAAGGGGCCTCCTGCTGCCACCGCGCCGCCGGAGCCCAATTTCTGTTCTTATCCTGAAGCAAAGTTCTTAACCCGAGGTAATATTTCTGGGTTAGCGGAGTCTGTAACCTGAAGCGTATGTAACCCGAGGTACCACTGTACTTCAGATGTGTTGGACTACAACTCCCAAGAGTTGGCTGAGGCTCTTGGGAGTTGTAGTTCAAAACGTCTGGAGGACATCAGGTGCCTGGCAAAGGCTGTGTCTTTGAGGGAAAGACTAGGCTTTGAATGTGCTGTAAAAGTATAGTATGGATGCACACAGCCCAAGGCAGCTTCTTATGTCACCAACAATCCTGGCTACAACAGAGCAACATATGGTAGGGTCCTTGCACCGGTTGCACTGTGCATCCCGCTGGCTCTCCCTGGTTTTCAGTCTGCCCTTTTCCCTTTCGCTGCAGCTTTATTTTCAGTTTCTTCCTGACGATCAGCACAATGCTTCTGGGAATTATACCCCGGGCCTTCATCCTGTTATTCTTGGAAGGAACTTTATTACTTCCTGGAAGGTGGAAGGCAAGAGAGCTCAGCGTTGCCGGTGACTAGACGGAGACTGGGGAGACCCAAAGGCAGACAAGCAAGCCCCTCTTTCAAACTGCAGCGCAAGAGCTGCCCCAAACCTCTTACTTCAGAGCTCCAAGGCAGAACAGGAACAGTGGCTTTTTTGCTTTTTAAACCATGACCATCCCAATTTCTTTTTAAACCAACAATGTGTGTGTGTGTGTGTGTGCGCGCGCGCAGCGGGTAGGGTCTATTCTGTCCATTCCCAAGCTGTAACTGCTAAAGTGAAGCTAACACAATGGGCGTTGGATAGCTCAGTTGGTAGAGCATGAGTCTCTTAATCTCTCTTTTTTTAATAAGATATTTATTAAGGTTTTCAAAATATTACAAAGTAAAAATAGAAAAAAGAAAAATACAAAATAAAAATAGTTAAAAACAACTCAATCTTTCCATTACTTATTTTTCATTAGCTTGTTTCCCGGACCTCCTCACGCCTCCCTTTTTTGTATTCCAGTTCAGTTTGTTGGTTCAGCAAATCCTTCCCCTCTTTGTTTATCCTAATCTTTAATCTTAAAGTATTGTAACATTAAATTTTTACCTGTTAGTAATCCATTTTTCATATTCCCTTATAATATTTCAGCTAAAAACCACTTAATTTCTATCCAACATCATTCTAACATTCATTAATTTTACAATATTTCTGTAAATAGTCTTTAAATTTCTTCCAATCTTCTTCCACCGACTCTTCTCCCTGGTCTCGGATTCTGCCAGTCATTTCCGCCAGTTCCATATAGTCAATCACCTTCATCTGCCATTCTTCCAGAGTGGGTAGATCTTGTGTCTTCCAATACTTTGCAATGAGTATTCTTGCTGCTGTTGTGGCATACATAAAAAAAGTTCTATCCTTCTTTGGCACCAGTTGGCCGACTATGCCCAGGAGAAAGGCCTCTGGTTTCTTCAAGAAGGTATATTTAAATACTTTTTTCAATTCATTGTAGATCATCTCCCAGAAAGCCTTAATCCTTGGGCACGTCCACCAAAGGTGAAAGAATGTACCTTCAGTTTCTTTACATTTCCAACATTTATTATCGGGCAAATGATAGATTTTTGCGAGCTTGACTGGTGTCATATACCACCTGTATATCATTTTCATAATATTCTCTCTTAAGGCATTGCATGCCGTAAACTTCATCCCTGTGGTCCATAACTGTTCCCAGTCAGCCATCATTATGTTATGTCCAACGTCTTGTGCCCATTTAATCTCAGGGTTGTGGGTTCAAGTGTTGCAGGGGGTTGGACTAGATGACCCTCGTGGTCCCTTCCGACTGTACAATTCTATGATTCTATGAAAACTTCTAACTTTGGAACTTAGAAGAAAGGGAAACGGGACTCCTGCTTTAGGGGGGCATTCACGCTGTGTGAATTTTAAGCACTATGAGACCACTTACTCATGGCTTTTACTGCGGTTTTAACTTTCTGTAGGTTTAAATGACAGTTGCGTTTTCTTTTTAGCCAACATTTTATTGTTTTATCCTTTTTGTAAACCGCTTTGAGGTTTTCCTACAATCAAGCAGTATACAAATTTTATGAAACAAAATAACCTTCTCAGTCGGTGCCTGAGGCTCGCTAGCTCTCTTCTGCTTTTTAAAAAGTTTTTGTGGAAAGAGTTCGGCTTCTTTGCTTTCTCTTTCTAGTGGCCTAATAGAGAATCCCCCCTGCAGCTTTCTCCCAGCTTTCTCCCAGTCAAAACAGTACTACAACATTTCTGCTTCTCCAAACGATTTTCGCTACCCATTTCTTTAGAACCTCCCTGGCACTTTTGGTTTCTACTGTATTCTGCTGGGTTTTCTATTCTTGGCCACCGACTCCACCTTCTCTACTTTTGCCTCCGAAAGCAGGGATGGATCCTGCAGCAGCCTACGCGCCTCACTTGATCGCAAGAAAGTACCACAACTCCCTTGTTTACGTCGTCATTGCATTTCTGGGGGTTCCAAATCTTGTCTCTTTCTTCTTCTTCTTTGGCGATCCCTCGTAGCCGAGTAAGATTGTCTTCCTTGAACACAGTTTTAACAATGAGTCCGTAAGTGACAGTGGAGGCCAATTCTGGATCCACACGTCCTTCCACAGTGGGGACATAGGTGGGAGTAGATCACGGTGTGGATTTGCCAAGTGTGCCTTCCTCTTAGTACATTTCTGCCTTGTGTCCTTCCACAGTGCGGGACATAGGTGGGAGTAGATCACGGTGTGGATTTGCCAAGTGTGCCTTCCTCTTAGTACATTTCTGCCTTGTGTCCTGGGTTTGAGTGTCTTCAAAGCCCATGACACCTTTGGTAAAGGCTGTTCTCCAACTGGAGCGCTCGCAGGCCAGTGTTTCCCAGTTGTTGGTGTTTATACTACATTTTTAAAAATTTGCCTTGAGACAGTCTTTAAACCTCTTTTGTTGACCACCAGCATTACCCTTTCCATTTTTAAGTTCGGAATAGAGTAGTTGCTTTGGAAGACGATAATCAGGCATCTGCACAACATGACCAGTCCAACAAAGTTGATGTTGAAGAATCATTGCTTCAACACTGGTGATCTTTGCTTCTTCCAGTACACTGGTATTTGCATTATTACATGAGAAGAACAAGCAGTATTCCCCTGTCTGAGCTTGCCTGCTGGCCCAGGAAGCCTCTTCTTCAGAAAAGTCTGAATCCTGCACTGCTCTCAATAGGAAATGGTCTCAAAGATCACTCGAAAACCTCTTGTTGACCGGTGTGTCTGCATACATCAAAATAAATACACACATTTCAGATTTCAGGTGGGGAGGCGAAGCGTTCTCCACATTCATCATGGACACCGATGCTACAGAGTACAAGAGGACAGGTCTCCGTCCCAAGGAGCATACAATCTAGAAGTAATCAGATATAGGGCGGAGAGGGAAACGGAGGCAGGGGTAAGCAGGAATGCAAAATCACAGAGTTGGAGAGCTGGAAGAGACCATGAGGGTCATCTCTTCCAAACCACTGCAATGCAGGAATATTTTGCCCAATGTGGGATTCGAACCCATGACCCATGCTCTCATGCTCTACCGACCAGGCAAAATGTGGTGGTTTCAGTTTGTACATGTTTAGACTTTGTGGTCAGAGGGTTTGGTGACTTGGGGCCTGCTGAAAAGGTGATTTCGATGAGGGATTTGAAGGGGGGGAGAGATGTTCTGCCGTTGGTATTGGTTTTAGCAGCGTGGATGGGAGAGAGTTTGCGTTTCTCTGAATTTTGCTGTGCTGTTCTCTGGCTGAGTGACACGTACCAACCAACGTGCATGTACCAAGGTAAAGTGTACATGTAAATGAACACAACAGTGAAAATGACATACAAAAATGCATGGTATTGGGGGAAACGCTTTGCAAAAATGTTTATATTTGAAGAAATTCGTATGAAAATGCTGACAGATTTTCAGGCGGGCTTGAAGCATAGCTGTCAACTTACAGATTTGAAAATAAGGGACCAGCAGCCTCGAAAATAAGGGATCAGCAGCCAAAATAAGGGATTTTCCAAGCACAGGTATGTTCAACTTCTGAGCCCCTCCGAGCCAAAGGCAGAAAGCCCAGCCAGCAGCCAAACGAAGCCTCAAGCAGTGGTTCCCACAGCACAGCAACCCGGCAAAGGGGATGCAGCAAGGAAAACCACCGTCACCTCTCCGCTGGGAAGCGCTGAGCAAAGGCGAGTCCCCAGGCAACGTGGCTGATTTGATCGGCACAAGGCATGCAAGCTCCACCCCCCAGTCGTTCTTAGACTCCTTATTGGATGAGCAACGCAGCCAAGCAACACAGCTGGAGCCTCCCTCCTCCCTGGCTGGCAGGGAGGGAGGGAGAGGAGCTGCTTCCTTTGAAACCCAGGAAATTTAAGGGACATCATCAATAAGGGACAGCAGCGGGACACAGCGCTGGGATAAGGGAGTTTCCCGCCAAATAAGGGACGGTTGACAGCTATGCCTCGAAGCCAAGAAATCGTGAGCTGATGTGGAATTGTGGAGAACTGAATTCAAGATTAGAAAAACCTTTGCTGGGTGCACATGAGGTCTAACATAATGAGAGGGAGGTAAATGTTGCATTATCCCACACTATGCAGTAACACACGCTACTATTATTTACCCTCCAGAGCAGAGAAGCCTAAGCAGACTCTACTCCCTTGAAGACTGACGATCCTTTTTTGCTCAATAGCCCCCAATCCCTCCCTCCCCACGCACCCCACACCTGCCAGCACCCGCTCCTCCTCTGCCAGGCCCGACTTCCCCTCCTAAGCTGCCCTGCTGAGTGAAGACAAGGAGTGCAAGCAAGGTAAGCATATTACTCCAGCCGCCTCAGCTCTATAAATAGTCCCGACGCCTGCTGCCGAGATGGTTCGGGCTCCTGTCAGATCACAGCCAAAAAAACCACCTCAGCTCCCTTTTTACTAACAGCAGAATTCTCTGGGGACGGAAAAGGCAGGAGGGAATCCTTTGGCCTGTGCAATGGTGTGTGTGTGTGTGTGTGTGTGTGTGTGTGTGTTTGAGTGCGTGTGCAGATTCCACTGCATTGCACAAAAACCCACAAACGCCGTTGAGCAAGAGTGTCACTTTGTGAACATTCGGCAGAGAGATTGGAGGGAGGGAGGGACAGGATTCCCTGGAAAGAAGTCTCCTTGAACTTAGTGGGACTTACTTCTGAGCCTGGTTGGCACTTAAGTCCCTTCCAAAAGAACTGAGTGTCCATCCTGTTTTCTATTTTATTCTATTCTATTCTATTCTATTCTATTCTATTCTATTCTATTTTATTGCATTGCATTGCATTGCATTTAATTTAAAGGTAAAGGGACCCCTGACCATTAGGTCCAGTCGTGACCGACTCTGGGGTTGCGGCGCTCATCTCGCTTTACTGGCCGAGGGAGCCGGCGTACAGCTTCCGGGTCATGTGGCCAGCGTGACTAAGCCGCTTCTGGCGAACCAGAGCAGTGCACGGAAACGCAATTTACCTTCCCTCCAGAATGGTACCTATTTATCTACTTGTACTTTGATGTGCTTTCGAACTGCTAGGTTGGCAGTAGCAGGGACCGAGCAACAGGAGCTCACCCCGTCACGGGGATTTGAACTGCCGACCTTTTGATTGGCAAGTCCTAGGCTCTGTGGTTTAACCCACAGCGCCACCCTTGCATTTAATTTACACCCCATCTTTTCCTCTGAGGAGCTCATGGTGGCATACCTGGTTGTCCTGCTCCTCATTTAATCCCCACCCTGTGAAGTAGGTTAGGCAAAGGCAGGCAGATAATAATAATAATAATAATAATAATAATAATTTATTATTTATACCCCGCCCATGTGGCTGAGTTTCCCCAGCCACTCTGGGTGGCTCCCAATTGAGTGTTAAAAACAATACAGCATTAAATATTAAAAACTTCCCTAAACAGGGCTGCCTTCACACACACAGAGGGAGAGATATTGGCCCAAATTCCCCCAATGAGCTTCATGGCCCAGTGGAGATTTCAACCCTGGTCTCCCACATCCTAGCCCGACATTCTTACCATTACACCACACTGGCTCTTGTTTGCTGGGAGGGTCTCTAGGCCATAATAATAATAATAATTTATTATTTATACCCTGCCCATCTGGCTGGGTTTCCCCAGCCACTCTGGGCGGCTTCCAACAAAATATTAAAATACAATAGTCTGAACGTCCCGGCCACTTTCCTTATTGTGCAAAATCTGGCTTTTATCTGGGGTGTTGGGGCGGGGGGGCTGGCAAACGCATCAAACCAACTTTTAAGTTTGCAGGCCTCAAGTTGCCAGTATATAATTGAGTCCCACCAGAAAACAGCGACAGTCTGGAAGTGCCCTTAATTAAAGAAATCCTAGTTGATTAATTGCACGAGTCTGAATCAATTAATCCAGCCATTAAATCTGCATATATTTGCATATGGGGGAAAACGCCTGTCGTGAGGCTAGGGCGGAAACATCAGCTTAGAAATGATGCGCGCACCTACACAATGGCCATCTGCCTTTCTCTCCAGGCCAAGCCTACGTGTAACTTTGCTAGTTTGGCATTGGGTGAAATCTGTGGTTAAGTGCAATCTGTTTTTAACTGTAAATAGCAGCTGCTTGGAGGCACGTTCACGACTGATGTGCAGGGAGAAGAGATTAATCTTGCCCCACCTGTGCTGCGAAAGAAAGAAAGAAAGAAAGAAAGAAAGAAAGAAAGAAAGAAAGAAAGAAAAAGAATTCATGCAACATATAATTTGTTCCTCAGAAGAGTCTGTGTAAAATACCTGTGTGCATCATTAACAGCCAGAAAAATAAGTACTGCATGATTAATCAGGAGTACCTTTTAACGGATTTCAAGATTTTTAATGGATTATTCTGCTAATAGTGCACAACCCTATACAAGTCTACTCAGAAGTGAGCACCATAGAATTCAATGGGACTTTTCATGGAGCCATGATGCCTGCAGCTGGATACAGCCATGCCCTTGGCCTGATCCAACGGTTATCTTCTTACATTCTCTTGACTTAAAGGTAAAGGTAAAGGGACCCCTGACCATTAGGTCCAGTCGTGACCGACTCTGGGGTTGAGACACACATCTTGCTTTATTGGCCGAGGGAGCTGGCGTACAGCTTCTGGGTCATGTGGCCAGCATGACTAAGCCGCTTCTGGCGAACCAGAGCAGCGCACAGAAACGCCGTTTACCTTCCCGCCAGAGCGGTACCTATTTATCTACTTGCACTGGTGTGCTTTCGAACTGCTAGGTTGGCAGCAGCAGGGACCGAGCAACAGGAGCTCACACAGTCGCGGGGGATTCGAACCGCTGACCTTCTGATTGGCAAGTCCTAGGCTCTGTGGTTTAACCCACAGCGCCACCCGCGTCCCTTCTCTCTTGACTTACTTCCATGTAAATAGGGATCTTGAAAGTTGCAGCCCTGCTTCCAAGCAACCATGTTAAGGATCCAGTTGCTCCTTTCCTTTTGTTGTTTGTTTGAAGCCCCCCCCACAACGAATCGAATTTAAGAAGGGAGACATCTGGACTGCACACAGCAAAAGGAAAAACAAAACAAAACGTGCAGCTTTTATCATCTAAAAAGCAGGAGAAAGGAGTGGTAGAAAGGACATACTTTGGCTATTGTGTAACTATTTATCATCACAAAACGATAGTCAAAAGTGTGTCAACTTTGTGGCAGGTGATTGTGGATATGCACACGGTGTAAAGGCACTTCGCATTTCCTTTTATTTATTTGTTCGTTTTACAAATGTTACAATAAAGTAGAGATACTATCTGTACAAAAAGAGGAAAAATAAACACGGGCGAGTGATGTTCTGCATATCACAGCAAAGCAGAGGCGATCTGTATGGTTGAATATTGTCCTTGTGGCATTTGTCATTCCAGAACGTTTAAAAAAGCGTCCATCTTCCCGTTAGCTTATTCCGGGGTCAGACAACTGTCCCCTTTTGGTAATATCTTAATTTGATCATTATCACTCCCTTCCACATTTTCTCAAACCAACCTGCCGAAGCCTTGGGCCTTGCGCTATTTCCAGTGTCCGGCCACGCAGATTCTTGCAGTTGCCAATAAATCTACTTTTATTTTCAAATCTACGCCTAATACCAGGGTCCAATTTAAAACCTTCAGAGACCCTTAAGCACTGAAAAGAAAAATGTTAGTAGGACTGGACCCTGGTTTAGGTGAGGCTAAGGAATAAAAAGAGAAGAGGGGAGTGAAAGGAAGTTCTGCTTTCCCCCATGATGACTCCTTCAATGCCTTTTTTGAAATATCAAATGTTATTATTATTATTATTATTAATCTCTGTTTTGTGTATCCTTGCTTTGCTAAGCACACGCTTAGCCTGCTTATTGAGTAATGCATCACCTAATATTATATGTTTGAAATATCATAAAAGTAATATTTTCGATCTAAAGGTAACATGTAACCTGTCATTTCTGCAATGGTGTTTTTTAAAAACTTACCTCCAAAAGAAGAAGAAGAAGAAGAAGAAGAAGAAGCTATTCATGTTTCTTCAATGGGTGTTTTCCCCCCCTTCCCTCCTCCCTCCACCTTCCTGTTCTTTCTTCAGCAGCAAAGATGCTTGTAGAAGTTTCACTTTCGCCTTCCTGAGTCTTGAGCACTGCTGTCGTAAGATTTCCGCTCACAGCCAGGCAGGAGATTTTCTGTTTAAAGAGTTCTCTTGACAACACGCTCAAAACACGCGTCAGCAGCCTGCCCTGAACCCATTTGCTGGTAGCAGATTCAGGACAGAAACGGAAGGGTTTTTGTCACCTACCGCATGATACCGTTGTCTTATGGAACTCGCTATTGCAAAAGGCAGCAATTTGGATAGAACCATGGAGCTGCAGAGTTGGGACCCCCAGCGGTCATCTAGTCCAACCCCCTGCAATGCAGGAATCACAGCTAAAGCATCCCTGACAGCTGGCCATCTAACCTTTGCTTAAAAACCACCAGTGAAGGAGTGCCTAGCACCTTGCAAGGGAAACCAAGGGAAACAGCTCTTACTTTCACGAAAGTTTATTAGGCAAAATTGCATCAAAAACGTGTATTAAAATGCTGGCAAACTTTTCATAGTTTGCTTTCCCCTCCTTTAAAAAAAGTGGGAGGGAGTGGCAAACTGAACCTAAGACTGGAAAAATGAGAAACCCAAACAGACAGATTTTCTTTCATCCTGCTCCTTTCTTTTCTTTTTTTTCAAATAATATTTATTATTTTCAGTAGATAAACATAGAAAAAAAAAAGATTAACAATAATAAAAACGAACAAAGAATAAAAGAAAAAGAGAAAAAAGAAAAAAGATACATACAGCATATTACCACTTAATTAATTAAAATTAAGTACCATCCATCTTCATAAACATAGTATTTGACTTCCTCGAATCTCTTCCATCCGAATTTCTTAGTAATTATATGTAGCAGTTTCCAGTATCAGTGTTTCAAAAGACCACATCACAGTCCTAATCATATTACATAACTTTCCTTATCGTACATTTTCTTATTTATAAAATTAATTCCAGTTTAATCCTAGGCCTAATAGTTTCTTTCAAGTGATTACATATCTTTAATATTACAATATTTATTCAAATAGTCTTTAAATTTCTTCTAGTCTTCTTGATGTTCCTCTTCTTTCTGGTCGCAGATTCTCCCTGCTCCTTTCCCCATGAACAACCGCTCTATCAGATCTGGAGCAAAAGCCAAAATGCAGAAAACCCGATTGATGTTTGCTTAGATTCAGCGGCAAAGTGCCTAGAAGTTACGAACCAAACAGGATGAACCCTAGGCTTGACTAATGCCCTTTACAGAGCCGTGCAAATTGGTGGGAATCACTAGATCATGTAGCAGTGAAAAAGCATCTCTAAGTTACACTGGGACGTTGTGAGTTGCCTTATTCTGAGTCAAACCACTGGTCCAGCTATCTCAGTGTTGTCACCACAAGTGGCCGCGGCCTCTGTAGGATTTCAGGAGTCTCTCTCAGCCCGACTTGAAGATGCCAGGAATTAAACCTGGCACTTTCCTCGTGCAAACAGATGCTCTAGCAGTGAGCTACAGCCCTTCCCCAGATGTATGTGTTGTGCAAATGAGTTAAGCGACCTTCCAGTAAATATGTGCTTGACTTTTCAAGGCGCTGACTGCAGCCAAAACAACCCAGATAGGAACACAGCGGCAGGAGACGTTATCTAGGTCAGACCCCTCACGTGCAGCCTGTATTGACTGGGGTGCGTGTTGTTTAGTTCTGTGAATCAGCATCTTGCCCATCTCAGAACAAGTGTGTCACCCATGCAAATATCACTGCATGCTCTCGCAGAAAACCAAGCAGATCTTGTTGGTCCGCAGTCATCGGCCGGGCCCCGCTTAATACATTCCAGTTCTAGCCGATCTCCTCGTTTCTCAGACTTCAAACCGCCCCCTTTTCAAGACAAAGAGTTTAAAAATATAATTTACTGCACCCTCCTCCTCCTCTCCCTAACATATTTCCAAATCAGTTCAATATGCCTGCAGCCTCTAAAGTGTTTGACTTGGTTCCAACCTGAAGTGTTACTTAAAAAGTCAGAGGGAGGAAAAGGGGGGGGGGGGAGAGGAAGAAGAAAAAACCTGTGCTGGTGGTTTAAATCCAGCGGCCCCCGCCGAAAGATTTAAAGCTGGTGGAGTGCTTGGCGTTTTCATAAGCACTTAGTTTTGGAAGTGATCTGAGTTGGAGACCCATGTGCTTGTCAAATCACTTGCCGTTATTAGAAGCTCGGAACAGCCTCTCCCGGGGCCTCCTTTGACTTCCACCCTTGCTCCTTCCTCGCACACGTACCAATAAGCCATTTGGAACACATCACGTCCGGAGGCTCATTTAGAGTTCACGGCGGAAGCTTCCCAAGGCTTTTAAAAAGAGAGCTTTTGTATCTTGGGACGGGGGGGCAGTGAGGTGTCCCCGGGTTACTGAACAGATTCAGGGTGCAGGCAGAAATGGCAGAAATTTGCAGGTGCCGAGGCAAAGGCAGGGAACCTTCGGTCTGAGGGCCACAATTTGCTCATGGGGAACTTTCCTGGGGCCGCACCTCAGCTGTGGGCAGGGCCAAAGACGAACATGAACAGATCAGTGCGACATTCGAAATGCAAATCATAGGTTTCTCTACGCACACACACACACACGCACACACACACAAACTGTTTATCTGAGGAAGCAAGATGCATTGTCGCAGTTCAAGGACACATTCCAGACATCCTAAATCTCCTGAGGAAGGGGTTTTATTATTTTATCTATTTACAGTCATACCTCTTGTTACGTTTGCTTCAGGTTAAATCTTTTCAGGTTGCGTCCCATGGCGACCCGGAAGTACCGGAAAGGGTTACTTCCGGGTTTTGCTGCTTGCGCATGCGCAGACGCTCAAAATGATGTCACACGCATGCGCAGAAGTGGCAAATCGCAACCCGCGCAGACGCAGGTTGCATTCTGCTCATGTTGTGAATGGGGCTCCGGAACAGATCCCGTTCGCAACCAGAGGTACCACTGTATTACATTCGTAAGTAGTGTGGTGGAGAGCCAGTGTGGTGTAGTGGTTAAGAGTGGTGGACTCTTGATCTGGTGAACCGGGTTCGTGTCTCCGCTCCTCCACATGCAGCTGCTGGGTGACCTTGGGCTAGTCACACTTCTTGAAGTCTCGCAGCCTCACTCACCTCACAGTGTGTTTGTTGTGGGGGAGGAAGGGAAAGGAGAATGTTAGCCGCTTTGAGACTCCTTAGGGTAGTGATAAAGCGGGATATCAAATCCAAACTCCTCTTCTTCTATACCCGCAGGTCTCAGGGTGGTTACCACAAAAAATTGCAATGTAAAAACACACAATAAGAACAAAAACAAACCAATAATGCTCCCCACATCCACAACACATTTTAAAAGGGCATCGGATGTCAATCTGCCAAAGAAGAAAGTCTTCGCCTGGTGCCTAAAGGTGTATAATGAAAGCACCAGGCGAGCCTCCCAGGGGAGAGCATTCCGGAAACAGGGAGCCACCACAAAAAAGGCCATTCTTGTGCTGCCACCCTCCAGGACATAGCGGGGATTCGGCCGTCGGAAAACTGTGTCCGGGCAGAAATTGCTGAAAGAAGCTCAACAACTTTGCCAAAATATGACAACCTTATATTGCGGCCTTGAGCCGCATGGAGCCTGGCCAATGAGGGGTTGTGGCTAGAGGAGAGGGCACAGCCTAGGGAGAGTCCTGAGGGCCTGATGGAGAGCCCTGGGGGCCATAATCCGGACCTGGGGCTGTGCCGCTAATGCATCTGCAAAGTCGTAAACCGAGGTGGACTTTCTGAGGGGAGCTTACTCTGACCAATGTGGTACGAAAGCAGGACGTTCCGGGGCCAGTACCTCAGGCGTTGGCACTTGGTGTACTGGAATCTGCTGGCAGACCTCTCTTTGGTTTCTGGTAGATCATCAAGGGTTTCTCATGGTTTGGGAACAAAATAGCTCCTCTCACCACCCAAATTATTTTGCTGAAATGGAGAAAGTAAGGGGGCAGGAGCTGATGGGGAGGAGATAACCAGGAGCAGATATAATAAAGAGTGCAAATATATATATGCATATATTAATGAAAGTAACATATAAACATATTGAATCTGGAAAAATTGCTTTGCAAAAATGTATATGCAGGCAAAGATGTGTCTGTGAGGCGACATTTGAGTTAAAATGCTGGCGCATTTTCAGGAGGCCTTTTTTCTAATGTTAGAAATCTGAAGTTAAGACAGAAATTGGCAGAAACTGAAACTGACAGATTTGCCCATCCCTAGTCAGGAGTATTTCATTTATTTATTGCATTTAAAACCTGTCTTTTTCTCCAAGGAGCTCGTGTTGTTCTCCCCCTCCTCATTTACAATCCACACAACAACCCTGTGAGGTAGGTTAAGTAGAGAGGCAGCGAATGGCCCAAGATCACCAAGCGAGCTTTGTGGCTGAGGTGGAATTTGAACCCAGGTCTCCCTTGTCCTAGCCCAATACCCTAACCACTGCACCACACTGCATCTCTCAGGGTTGGGTTGGAGCTTGGAGGGATGTGGCACATTGGTGGTAGAGGCTGACAGAATCTGTAGCTCTGGCTTTTCAAAGCATAGTTCAGGTTTATGGACATATTTACTGATTTCCGATATTTGCTGCCCGATCAGCAGCTAACAGGCCTTCACCCATGGCCACCCAGAGAACTGTGTGGCCCAAATCCCCAATGCATACCAATGGCATGAGAGTGGCTGGCAGGCAAAAAAAAAACATCAGCACTGAGGTCGGAGGAATAAAATAACACTGACATCTCCTGTGAGCTTCTCCTTTGGCAGGAGTTAGCCCACTGTGGTCTAAATATAGGATTGTGCAAATATGATTTGGGGGGCATTCCAAAAGCAGGTGGCCAGCTACAAGATGCCCTGGCAAATTAGAGCTGTGAACACATTTTCTTCAGCGTTGCAAAGTTGGCTCTTTTTGTTGTTGTCCTCTTTCATGAGAACTAGAAACTTGCTCCCTTCTTAAACAAACAAACAAAGGAAAAGTTGAGATTTACCACTCTTCCAAATGCAAGTCTTGCATCATGCACAGAGTCCTATTACTTGTAATTATTATTATTTGCCCACTGCCAACGTAGGGCGTTCTGGAAGGAAAGGCCGTCTTGAGAAAGGAGTAAAAAATTCAAGTTATTGATTTACTTTTCCTATAGATGAATATTAACTATTAGAGCTACTTCATGAAACGTAATTCGAACTTCGTAGCTGCCCTTTTGTTGCATTTTTATCCCACCCTTGAATTCCTCCAAGATACTCAAGGCGATACCCAAGGCTTTCTCAGTTCTCATTTTAACTTCACAACATCCCTGTGAAGTAGGTCAAGCTGAAAGAATGAGGTCGCTTGTGTAGTTTTGTGGGTGTTTGGAGATTTGACTTCTTGTCTCCCAGGTCTTACTTAGTCTAACACTCTGACCCAGGGTGAGGAATCTTTTTCCAGCTTGAGGACAAAAATCCAGTTTTTGAGATGTGTTTGTGCCACATGACCATTGTGGGCGGGGCCAGAAGCAAAACAGGACAGAACAACAACTGTTAATTTGTACACTAGACTCGTTTCTACACCTGTTCACACAACTCTCCTCATCTGGGCGAGCAAGGAGACATTATCAGCCTTCAGGGGCATATCCTGGACACTCAAGGAAGGGTCAAAACAGGGCTGGGGTGTGGCTCAGGTGGTTGCATGACCCAGGGAGAATCCTGAGGACCGGATAAAGAGGGCTGAGGGGCCGCATTCTGCCTCCTAGCCCACCGTTCCTCCTCTGTCCTCTAAGCACTACACCACACTGTCTGCTCATGTCTGCTGGGGAACGAATTGTGCGGTTCCCCTAGATGACACTCTGCCATAGCTGTCAACTTACAGATTTGAAAATAAGGGACCAGCAGCCTCAAAAATAAGGGATCAGCAGCCAAAATAAGGGATTTTCCAAGCACAGGTATGTTCAACTTCTGAGCCCCTCCGAGCCAAAGGCAGAAAGCCCAGCCAGCAGCCAAACGAAGCCTCAAGCAGTGGTTCCCACAGCACAGCAACCTGGCAAAGGGGATGCAGCAAGGAAAACCACCGTCACCTCTCTGCTGGGAAGCGCTGAGCAAAGGCGAGTCCCCAGGCAACGCGGCCAATTTGATCGGCACAAGGCATGCAAGCTCCACCCCCCAGTCGCTCTTAGACTCCTTATTGGGTGAGCAATGCAGCCAAGCAACACAGTTGGAGCCTCCCTCCTCCTTGGCCGGCAGGGAGGGAGGGAGAGGAGCTGCTTCCTTTGAAACCCGGGAAATTTAAGGGGCATCATCAATAAGGGACAGCAGCAGGACACGGAGCTGGGATAAGGGAGTTTCCCGCCAAATAAGGGACGGTTGACAGCTATGCACTCTGCACCCTCTCAGAGGCACTGTTTGCTAAGGACCAAGCCCCCGGCTTTGACAACGGGTTCTGGAACGGATGCCCAAGTTAGGTCCTGCCTTGGACGCCGCGCAGCTGAGAATGATGAAAAGCGACAGGCGCTTGAACTCTGCGGCCGGCCCTCCGTGTGTGAAATGAGAACAATATGTTGGCAGAGGGGTCAGCTTGGAGTCAGAAGAAAGACTATCCCCTTCCTTTCTGGCTTCTCTGCCTTCTTGCCTTCCTGCCGGGAGAAGTCAGTGGTGTTTGCCGAGGCCCTGTCAAAGCCGCAGAGTGCTAGCAAAGGCCTCATACGAAACCGTCTGCCTGCTGCCGCTCGTAAACCTGGAGAGGTAGTGGCTGGTATCTTTCCTCCTGGACGAAAGGCAAATAAACAGAGGAAATTAGGAGCACACGCCGTGTCTGGGATCTCAGCCTCGCTGAGCCTGCAGAGGTAGACCGAGAGACCGGGGCTCAGCAGCCAAGCTTCAGCTCCAGGTCTGAGGCAGGACTCCTCCAGCAGGAATATTATTTCTCAAGATAGTACAGGAGATGTTTTCTAGCCTCGTGTACACAGGGCTTAAATCCCAGCGCTGGGGAAGCGGACTGGAGTCGGAGTCAGCGCTTGTGCTGAACAGAAATCGTCACGAATTCACAATAAAAAAAAGGACGTTCCTCTCTTCCAATGTACATGGGGCAGTTCTGAGTTTAAAGAGAAGGATCTGCTGCTCTCTCCAGCTAGATTTTCATATATATATATATATATATATATATATATATATATAAAATTTTTATTAATTTCAACATACCAATTATTACACATTCCACAGAACTTCACATCTTATGCAATCTTTTTGGACTTCCATCAGCTCCTCTGATGATCCACCATTTTTATCATTTCTTCTGCATTTCTTAAATTCCTATTGCCTTTAATTATCTCAACTCACAATCTACCTCTTTAACCATTTTTGCAATAATTCAAATAATTTACCTCACAAAACTTCTTGCAATCCTACAAACGTAATCTGGTCATCACAATTACTTTTCAAATAGTCCGTAAATTTACACCAGTCTTCTGTGAATCTCTGGTCCTGCAGGTTTCGAATTCTTCCGGTTAGTTTATCCAATTCTGCATAGTCCACTCCCCAGCTAGATTTTCAAGTTACACTACTCCACAGAATCGAGAAGGTTTCCCGGGAGGCAGGCTGTGTTTGTATTTCTCTATGAAAAGCACACACACCATTTTTAATTTCCCAGCCGATGAGTCACGCCTTGTTGCCTTACAAGTCAGAATTTAATTCATCACATCCTGTGTCGAGAGCTGTGTGCGCTGAGAAATGTCGGGGGTTGGTTTGGCTATTTTTGCACGGAAATGGTAATGTCATCCGTTCTTGGGAGAAAGATGCTATCTCTGCCGCTAAATTTTATTTGAGATGAATGAGGTTGTTGTTGTTGTTTTAAAGACAAATGCTGTGTACACACCATGCATTTTGTTTATTTATTTGAAATAAATTTTATTAGTATTTTCCACACAACAACAACAACACGAAAGATATAAAAAAATAACAATACACAACACACAAAAATCAACATTCGAAAACTAAAGAAAGCAACAACAACAAAACATATCCCTATCTCACAAGTTAATATTAAAAACACTAAAACAACAACAAGACATTGACTTCCACCAATCCCACAGCACCTCCTTTATCTCTCATTGTGTCTTCCTGTTTTCCTGTTTTCTTTATCATCTCTATCCTAACATCTATGCATTTAAAACCACATCCCCTTACCCTCCAATAATCTTGGGAACTGTTATTTGCTAAGGGTACGGGAAAGTGTAGCGCTGTGAGAGGCAAACTACAGTTCCCAGGAATCTTTTGGGGAGAGAGGAAGCCATGTGTTTTATATGTACACAGCCAAAGCCCTACAATTCCATGTATCTTTACACAGAAGTAAATCCTACTATGTCCAAAGGGGCTTACTCTCTAGTTAGGGTGTTTTCTAGGATCGTAGTCTAAGACCCTGTCGTCATGTCCCTACTCAGCAATAAAAAACATTGGCTGCCCTCGAAACAGGCGCTAATTCTCATCCTTGCCTACCTCAAAGGGTTGTTGTAATAAAAATTACAGCGTGTTATGAGAAAATTATATGAAATTGATATATCGATGGTATCTAACACCGAGTAAACTGGCAAAAATGTAGAAATCTAAATCAAATAAGAGTTGGAAATGTAAAGAGAAAGAAGGTTCTTTTTATCATATGTGGTGGTCTTGTAGTAAGGTTAAGGCTTACTGGGAAATGATATATAATGAAATGAAAAAGATGTTTAAAATAATGTTCGTAAAAAACCCCAGAAGCTATTCTCTTGGGAAATATAGGGACAGAACTGCCTAAAATGTATAGAAACTTATTTATGCATGCGACTACAGCGGCAAAAATGTTACCGGAAGAATAAGAAATCAATATAGCAAACTTTTTTTTTTTTTTTTAAATAAGAGAATGGAAATGGTTAATTGAATATTTACAGATAAATTGTAAACAGATAAAAACATTCCCAGGGTTATTGCAATAGCCTGCAGTTTCATAAGAGTATACATTTAAAGAAGATGACTAAGTGAACAAATTAAGATCATTTGGATATGCAGAAGATATTAAAAATAAATATAAGGAACCGCAGAAAGTGGAGGAAGGAAGTCAGGTTTTGAAATGTCGAAACGATTGTAAAATTAGTGAAATGTTTAAGTCTGAAAAGTACAAATATTTTTTTTTAAAGGGTTGTTGTAATGAGTTCTAGCCTTCATGCAAACTCTGCAATGGCCATTCACACATGCAGGTAATGCCTGGCTGATGCTATCAAATTCAATACCAAGTTGCAGATATAAAAAGTTGTTCCGCCTCCAGGGGTTCCTGAATCTCAGAGGAAGCCTCCCCTCCCACTGGGTTGCTACAAACAGCAGGCCATGCAGTAAAACTCCCGTTGGCTTCTTCCCACCCTTTGCTCAAAAAAGGGAAAGTCGCGGGAGCCCTGGCTCTTTCCATTCCTAAACAAAAGGGATTGTCGGGCGAAGAGAACGGCTTCGGCGGAATGTTTGACATCATGCCGTGTGAATTCCAAGCATCTCGGCGGCGCTGCCTCTTCCCAGGAAGAGCCGGGAGATGTTTGGCATCCGGGGCCAGGAGTGTTTTCTTGGGGGAAATTCATGTTCATCGTTCCAACATCCGCTCTGGAGGACGTTATTCCACTTGGCATCGAAGCAGCTGGAAACAGCAGCAGCAGCAGCTCCCAGTTGGAGCAGTCGGAGAAGAACCAGATTACTCACATTAGGGAGAAAGTGGAAGCAGGAGAGAAATGTTGAGAGGGAGAGAGAGCGTTTCCGAGCACAATTCAAAGTGTTGGTGCTGACCTTTAAAGCCCTAAATGGCCTCGGTCCAGTATACCTGAAGGAACGTCGCCACCCCCATCATTCTGCCCGGACACTGAGGTCCAGCGCTGAGGGCCTTCTGGCGGTTCACTCACTGCGAGAAGCCAAGTTACAGGGAACCAGGCAGAGGGCCTTCTCGGTGGTGGCACCTGCCCCGTGGAATGCCCTCCCACCAGATGTCAAAGAGAAGAACAACTATCAGACTTTCAGAAGACATCTGAAGGCAGCCCTCTTTAGGGAAGCTTTTAATCTTTAACAGACTACTGTATTTTAGTACAGTGGTACTTCGGGTTACATACGTTTCAGGTTACATACGCCTCAGGCTACAGACTCCACTAACCCAGAAATAGTACCTTGGGTTAAGAACTTTGCTTCAGGATGAGAACAGAAATCGTGCTCTGGCGGCGCGGCGGCAGCAGGAGGCCCCATTAGCTAAAGTGGTGCTTCAGGTGAAGAACGGACCTCCGGAACGAATGAAGTACTTAACCCGAGTTACCACTGTACTTTGTTGGAAGCCGCCCAGAGTGAATGGGGAAACCCAGCCAGATGGGCGGGGTATAAATAATAAATTATTATTATTATTATTATTATTATTAAGAAAGAGAGAGAGAGATCCAGTGCTATTTTTCTCGAAAAAGAGGTGCTGGAACTCACGCCTCCCTTGTTCTCTTATAATGGCAATGGCGCCCAAGAGGTGCCGGAACTGAGTTCCAGTGAGTTCCGCCCGAAAACAAAGCCCTGGAGAGATCTAAAATGTTTTAAAAGCATAGGTCAGGAGCGGGGAGACTAACAAACATCTGTGTCTAAAATCCCTGGTAGAGGACAAGGATCAAGAGATTACGCTAAGGGTGGCCAAATTTTCTGCGACTGCCATGAAACTTAGGGAACAAGCTGTACTACCAAAATGATTAAGGTTTTAAATGATCATTTTAGGTTATATTTTAGTGACCAAGATTTTATATATATTTTTAACTGCCGCTATATCTGAATTGTCTCTGTTATACCCAGTTGCAATTCAATGTATCCCTGTTGTGTTTTATGATTTTTCTGATACTGTAAGTGACCCGGAACTGGTCTGTGACCGTAATAATAAAATTCATTCACTAACAAACGTGGAATGTTGTCGCCGAAATATAAAAATGAAGAACATAAGAAGAGACCAGTATCCTGTTTTCACCATGGCCAAATAGATGCCTGTGATGCGACTGGTAACCAACGGGTCATTTAGTCCAAACGCCTGAAATGCAGGAATCACAGCAGCCATCAAGCCTCTGCCTAGAAATCTCCAGTGAAGGCCACCACATTTTGAAGGAGTCCGTTCTGCAGCTCTCGCTGCCAGAAAGTGTTGTCGGCCACTGGTGTCAGGCGATTGCCTTATAGTGACTCAGGCAATTGGTGCATCTGACTGTGCACTGACCGGCAGCTGCGCTCCAGGAATTTCACACAAGAAATCCCAGCCTGGAGATACTGCTGCGGGAGGCTAAATCTGGAACATCCTTCCTGGCAGCCTAAATGCAGTATTAATGAATTGAGCCTGCTTCTTGGGAGAAATGCAATGGCAAACCTAGACAGCATCTTAAAAAGCAGAGACATCACCTTGCCAACAAAGGTCCGTATAGTTCAAACTATGGTTTCCCCAGTAGTGATGTATGGAAGTGAGAGCTGGACCATAAAGAAGGCTGATCGCCGAAGAACTGATGCTTTTGAATTATGGTGCTGGAGGAGACTCTTGAGAGTCCCATGGACTGCAAGAAGATCAAACGCATCCATTCTGAAGGAAATCAGCCCTGAGTGCTCACTGGAAGGACAGATCCTGAAGCTGAGGCTCCAATACTTTGGCCACCTCATGAGAAAAGAAGACTCCCTGGAAAAGACCCTGATGTTGGGAAAGATGGAGGGCACAAGGAGAAGGGGACGACAGAGGACGAGATGGTTGGATAGTGTTCTCGAAGCTACCAGTATGAGTTTGACCAAACTGTGAGAGGCAGTGGAAGACAGAAGTATCTGGCGTGCTCTGGTCCATGGGGTCACGAAGAGTTGGACACGACTAAATGACTAAACAACAACAAGCGTTTTAAAAAAAATTGTGCTAAAGAGCACATTTTTTTGTTTTTTTTAAATGTTTTTATTAGCAATTTCAACATAACAACATATCTAAACATATCATATTCATTATTTTCTCCCCTCCCCCAGAAACTTCCTTCAGCTCCTCTCTCTGATTTCTCAGCACATATTATTCTTTGCATGTTATAAAATTATACAAATCCTTACATTATCTGCCCACCATGTTATCAATCAATAAATTTGTGTATGCTTATTCAAAACCTGCCAAGGAGTCCAATTCATTTTGTTGTCTTTTTAAGCAATTTGTAAAAAGTTCCCATTCTTCTTTAAAGTCACAGTTGTCCTCATCTCGCAGTTTGTATGTCAGTTTAGCCAATTCTGCGTAGTTCATCTATTTCTCTTGCCACTGTTCTTTTGTCGGGGTTTCCTCATTCTTCCATCCTTGTGCTATCAAGACTCTTGCCGCTGTTGTTGCATACATAAATAAATTCTTTGTTTTCCTTGGCAGGTCATGGTTAGCTATCTTTTCAGGGCACCAAAAATCAGTGGCCTCACTCTGCCTGATGATGGCCCTGGCAAATGAGGGGGAAAAACTACCGTATTTTCTGGAGTAGAAGACGACTGGGCGTATAAGACGACCCCCAACTTTTCTAGTTAAAATATAGAGTTTGGGATATACTCGCCGTATAAGACTACCCCTCTTCCAATGCACACCAAACAAAATTTTTTACAAAATCAGTCTTCAGTCCGGCTCGGAAATTCACTCCACTTCCCAGTGGCTGGAGGTGCACTTAATGCTATTGTTGGTTCCCTGCCTTTGTTGTTAGCCTTTCCCTTTCTTTTACTGTGGGGCTGCTTGGGCTGAGGCAGCGGCCACATGTCTAGTTGCTGGGGCAACGCGAGGCCACCATTTTGGACCACGTGGTCTACTACCGGGAGCGGTTAGAGTTCTGTTGCTGGTGATTGGGGGGGCTTCTGAGGCCACTTTTCAAGCGTATTTCTGTTTCATCTAGAGAGCTCGGTGTCCTCTGATTTAATTTGAGGTCATTTTGTCCTTTGGTGGGGAGCTGCTGCAGGAGCTGCTGCTGTAGCCAGCATATAAGACGACCCCTGACTTTTGAGAAGATTTTCCTGGGTTGAAAAGTAGTCTTATATGCCAGAAAATACTGTAAATGTCCTTTTCCCTCCCTGTTACATATCTTTGCTCCCAATTGGATTCCCTCCTCCCATTTATTTATTTATGTTTGCCTGTAATAAACGATCTCTCAGACTACCACTAGACACGTTTGCATACGATGTGAACTTTGGGCTGCAGTATATCTGAATTCTTCCTGGATTTCAGTGAGGCCGCAGGTAGTGTGGGAATTCCCCCTCCGCAATGCAAATTGTAGGCATGGAACAAATAGTCGTTGGCTGGGCAGGGCAGAGGCACTTATAGTACCTCCCGTCACGGAATCGTAGAATCATGGGATTGTAGGGCTGGAAGGGACACCAAAGGTCATTTAGTCCAACCCCTTGCAATGCAGGAACATTTTGCCCAATGTGGGGCTCGAACCCATGAGTCTGAGATGACGAGTCATATGCTCTGACGGTTGAGCTCTCCAGTAACCTGCAGTGATTGCTACTTGGCAGGGGCCCTGATCTGAACCAGGAACACAGCAGGAGGGAGTTTAGCCTTTTCAATTCCCCCTTTGAACCCTTTGAAGTCCCATAGCTCCCACATTAGGGTCCTGATTCAGGTCACAGGTCGAGACGAGGCAATTTGTGTAACAACAACAACAACAACCCACCCCTTGGGCTGAAAGGTCAGCTACAAAGCTAATTTTTAATTAAACTTTATTTATTTACTACATGCAGACATATGACACGCCACCATTACATCAAATGAGAATTAAAATCAAACAACAGTTTTGGGCTCAGATAATCATTTCTGAATATATATTTTAATAATTTTATAATCATTTCTGAATATATCAACAAGTTGTCTTAAAGTGTGTGTGTGTGTAATTATATATATATAAAATTATTATAGATATGAAATTATGTATAATAATGTATCTGCTTAGATTGCTGACCACTAGTAAAAGGTGTTTTGAAAACAATAACAATTTTAATTTATGAGGATTTATAGAAATTTATAGGGCATAAGTAAGGGAGAAAAGGGGAAATTAAAATACTTCCTGCACACCAAACTGTGCTGTAAACTATGGGTACTGTTTTGCCATATGGCTCATTATTCGTACAATCAATAAAATCACACCAAGCTGTATAAAAATTGTCATGCTTCTTTTGGCCTCTTGCTAGTTTTTATTATTGTGTCAGCTTTTCCGATAGCACTGTTTGCCAATTTGCATTAAACCATTGATCCACAGTCAATAATTGTAATGATTTCCATGTCCTGGCAATGGTTATTGTTGCAGCAGTTAATAGATGTGTTATGAGTCCTTTATTTCTAATTTGCAACGTGTCATGACTATACAAATTAAGTTGAGCTAGTGCTGCAGTCATGGGAACTGTTTGCCTTGTAATGAAATATATTTCTGCAAATACCTTTTTCCAAAACCTTTTTGGACACTCCCACCACATGTGCTGATATGTCACTACAGAGCTAATTTAACTTGTAGTTTGGCTTCTGAGATTTCATGGCACAAGAAGAGCTTTGCAACCGTAAAGACTTGACACCTGATTAAAGCAAACCAAAAGCTTACATTTCCAGGAACCCGAATTTTGCAGTCGCTATGTCATTTTGTATGCATGTGCTCACGCAGAACAGCAGCAAATGCACAGCACTGGCTGAAGGACCTTGGGCTGTTGTTCCCTTGTACTCCTGGCTCCCATTAATGCTTGCAAATAAGCAATGGGCAACAGATTCATTTCGGAGAGTTGGTAATCCCAACTGGCTGGTTGCGCCAGCTTTTTCCTTCAGCAGCCTTTCCACCTCGGGCTCTGGAACTCGAATCAGTGCCAGCAAATGTTGCCTTAGAGCCAAGCGCCATTGAACTTATGATTAATGTGAACTTTGCAACTCTCCTGTTTCATTGCTTTACATACACACAAACACACATGCCAAATCTTGCAATGTGTCCAGCTTTCGCAATCATGGCTCTCTCCTCTGCCAAGGTGGAGAGGGTGAAGAAAGAAAGAAAGAAAGAAAGAAAGAAAGAAAGAGGCAGGGAAAAATGGAGAAAGTCAGTTTGGTTCACATTCAAAGGTGAACTTGCCTAATTCATGCTTTCCAGAACGACAAACAAACCAAAACACAACCCACCTCTGATATCCTCGCTTCTCTGAATTTTGCAGTGCAGTTCAAGCAAGTAATGAGTGCGAAAATGTGTCTACTAGTGTAAAGTGTGCATTAAAAGCTTGTGTATGTTAGTGAATACAACATACAGCAGTGCATTGTATTAGGGGAAAGCACATGCAAAGTTGTGTGCAAGGAGAAATTCGCACTGAAATGCTGGTGGTTTTTTATGAGGAGGATGAGTTTGGATTTGATATCCCGCTTTATCACTACCCGAAGGAGTCTCAAAGCGGCTAAGATTCTCCTTTCCCTTCCTCCCCCACAACAAACACTCTGTGAAGTGAGTGGGGCTGAGAGACTTCAGAGAAGTGTGACTAGCCCAAGGTCACCCAGCAGCTGCATGTGGAGGAGCGGGGAAGCGAACCTGGTTCACCAGATTACGAGTCTACCGCTTTTAACCACTACACCACACTGGCTCTCGCCACACCACACTGGCTCTTTTTTAAAGGCAAACTGATGTGGAAATGTGGAGTAGGAAAATGAGCAAGGGAGAGAAACCAAAACTGAGATTTGCCCATCCCTAATGGGGAAGATTATATGAAACTGAAGGTTCATCCTTCGTCCGTGCTTGCGAGGTATTTATTTGACTCCCTCTTAATCAGCCAAGCATGCCACGCTTTTCAATACAGTTCCCTGTCACTTTCCTAACTGCAAAAGGCCTGTCTCTTTATTAAAAGTGGATTTGTTGCACTAGACTGACAGAGCACTTTAATCCACTTCAAGTTGCACAGAATTAAATTTTCAGCCCTACCTGAAGATGCCACTGAGAACTGAATCTGGAACCCTCAGCCAAGTATATGCTCTACTGCTAAGCTATAGCCCTTTCCCAACTCTCATAGGTTTTGCCAGGACCAACACATGGGTATTGGGGTGGGTGTGTTGGCAGTGTCATCCGCATGCCTTAGCTCTGTGCAACTCGTGAAATGCCTTTTCCACACAATTCATACAGGAAAGCAGCGCTAGGAAAAGGCAACTTGCAACTTACGTGCATTTAACTTTTAGTGTCAATATGTTATTGAAAGAATTTCAGTGATAAACAAATAACGTGATACAGAGGGGGGAAAGGGGGGAAGTGAGAGGGAAAAGAACAAAGATGTGTATAAGGAAAAAAAACACAATATACAAAAATGCAATCTAATATACTTCCATAAAGGGGACCCCTGACCATTAGGTCCAGTCGTGGCCGACTCTGGGGTTGCGGTGCTCATCTCGCTTTATTGGCCGAGGGAGCCGGCGTACAGCTTCCGGGTCATGTGGCCAGCATGACTAAGCCGCTTCTGGCGAACCAGAGCAGTGCACGGAAACGCTGTTTACCTTCCTACCTATTTATCTACTTGCACTTTGACGTGCTTTCGAACTGCTAGGTTGGCAGGAGCAGGGACCGAGTAATGGGAGCTCACCCCGTGGTGGGGATTCGAACTGCCAACCTTCTGATCGGCAAGTCCTAGGCTCTGTGGTTTAACCCACAGCGCCACCCGCGTTCCTATATACTCCCATACATCCTTATATAAATTGATATAGTGCTATTATCCTAATACGCATGTAGATATTAATAGCCTACCACATTCTGTAAAAACTCCCTGGAACGTAAGTGCGGAGTCGCCTGTAATTTTAAAGCCTGGACTGAGTAGCCTTACAGCCCTGTTCCAGCCACTAGTGGGTGTGGCCTAAGGGGGAATCCTGAGGGCCATATAGAGAGGGCTGGTGTCCTCATTTGGCCCCTAGGCAAAAGGTTCCCCAACCCTGCAATAAATGGTTGACTGGTTTCACTTTTGTCCTGCTACTTGAATACAAAGCAGCCGTTTTGCTATTCGGTGCAGCCTATCCAGCAGAACTGGGTGGTGGTGGTTGTTTTTTTGAAAAAGCAGCACTGGTGCATGTCTTTGACCAATTACATCAGCCATTTTCTGTTCCAAACAGATGTGTGTGTGTGTGTGTGTGTGTGTGTGTACACACAGCTTTCCCAGAAAAGGAGAACCTCCCTCTGGTCGGCTAAGGTTCCAAGATTGGGTAAAGAAGTCCATTGCTGCTATTGTTCAGCCTTGTAACTATTTATACCTTTCTTCCTTTTTTTTGCGAATTGTGATGGGTTTCTCTCTGTGCGTGTCAAACCTTATTACAAATGTATGATGCTCTCTGCATGCGCTGTCCGTAAGAGGTAGACGGCATGTTTAATAATAAAAGACGGCATGTATTCTTAACTCAGGGCAGCCAGGACAGCTGTAAGTGTGTGCTGGAGTCAGGATCGTTGCACAAACAGCACTTGGCAGAACAGCACTTTGACTTGGGATCTGCAGATGGAAAGGACCCTTTCGCCAGTTCTCTATACTTAGCCTTTGCATAGCAGCCTGGAGCATTGTAAGCGCATACATTGCCTGAGTGATCCCTACGACAATGCTCCGAGGTAGGCTAGCATTATTACAGTGGTACCCTGGTTCTCAAATGCCTTGGTACTCAAACAACTTGGAACCCAAACACTGCAAACCCAGAAGCAAGTGTTCTGGTTTGCGAACTTTTTTCAGAAGCCGAACATGTTCCGTTTTGAGTGTTACACTTACGTTTTGAGTGCCACACTTCCATTTTGTGTGTTATGCTGAGGTCTGTCTGGTTTTGCTATTTATTTTATGTTTCCATTTTTGCGGCTCTTTCTTGTTTTGTTTTTGTGACTGTGTGGAACCCAGTTCAGCTACTGATTGATTGATTGATTGCGTGCGTGACTACAAGTACATTGTTACTCTTGTCAGATAGTAAAATTCATGTTCAATTGCTGCTTTAGGGGTTGTTTTCCAAAGTCTGGGACGGATTAATCTGTTTTGCATTCCTTTCTATGAGAAAGCGTGCCTTGGTTTTGGAACGCTTTGGTTTTGGAACAGACTTCTGGAATGGATTAAGTTTGAGAACCAAGGTTCCACTGTACTGCCTTATTGTTGATGGACTGGACCTGAGGCTGAGAGGGGGCAGGTTGCCTGCGGTTCTCCAAGCAAGATCAAAGCTGCAGAGAGCTCCCACCTTGCTCTCTATAAGGCACCTGTCTTTGGCTATAGCTCCACTTCTTCCCATACAGCCAGGATAACGTGAAAATACTGGCAGGAAGACACACTTCTGTCTTCTCTCTCTGCCCTCCTCTCCTCCTGTCTCTGGAAAGTGGGCCAAACATCATCTCGGGAGGACCCAACGTAGACACATTTCAATTTTTGCAAGGGTATTTGATTTTAATTTTCACAAGGCAAGTCACAAGGCAAGGGAAAATTCTCTCTCTCTCTCCCTCCCTGCTCCCCCAATTAATTTCAGTTCTAAAGTTAGGTTAGCAACCCTTCTTTGTCCTTGTGATTTATTTATTTTTAATACAGTGCTTACAATGTCAAGGAAGGAAGGAAGGAAGGAAGGAAGGAAGGAAGGCAGTATCAAGAAGAGTTTCTGTTTCAGTTCTCTGGCAAAATGTGAAACGTGATCTAAGGACCAAAGTACATGGAATTTGGTGTAATTTCCTCCTGGAAGGCTGATCCTGTATTTTATTCACTTATGAAAAACAGCTGCAGGAGGCTGTCATCAAGACAGGTGGGCAGAAGGCACTTAACTCCTGCCTTCCCATCATTTCCTGACTCTAAACAATCCCCCCATTGCCTCTCCCCACGGCAAGATATCCAAAGCACTTCACATATGTAATCTTGTGGCAGTACTTAGAACACCCCTGTAAGGCGGTTGAATATTAGGGGGAAATGGGTTAAGTTGAACCCCTCCCCACACAGCTTTCTTCCATTCCTGGTTCTTCCTGCCTCCAATGGCTGTTTTTCATCTTGAGAAATCTGGGGAACAGTCTTCGGTAAACCTCTGGTCCTGCCTGTCTTGGATCCTTCCTGTTAGCTTGTCTAATTCTGCGTAGTCCATCAATTTCATCCTCCATTCTTCTAATGTTGGTAGTTCTTCTTGCTTCCATTTTTGGGCCAATAATATTCTTGCTGCTGAGTATTTGAAAAGTATTTGTGATGATCAGATTACGTTTGTAGGACTACAAGAAGTTCTGTGAGGAGTAATTTAAGAAATATTGTAAAAATGGAAAGGGGGAAATGATTTGTTAGAAAAGGTAAAGGCAATATTAAGTTAAGAATTGCAGGAGAAATAATCAAGACGGAAGACTATCAGAGATGCTGAAGTCCAAACAAGGACATATGTATAATAATTTGTGTGGTATGTCTTAAAAAATTTTGTATGCTAAAAATTAATAAAAAATATTATTAAAAAAAGAGAGAGAAATCTGGGGAAAGCTACATGAATACCTTTGAAATGTGTAGCCTTCCTCGCTATAAATTCTCAAGCTGCACCAAGGGCCTGCTTTCTCCTTGCATGCAAAACTCTTCTTGAGGCAGGCATATTTCACCCCTCAGCAATCTGCCTCGCTGCATCCACCCCGATAAACAGAAATATGGTTTCCAAAATGTTGCCTTTTACTCGCTTTTGTCCTTTCTAAAAGTTTTTTTTAACAACTTTCTGAGGGCTAAAGCATTGCAACAAGAACACCCCCCCCTTCCCCCAGATGTCGGTCTTACATCTGGAGATTAATGGGCTGCGAATGCCCAAATTCCTGTCTTCAGAAGCAGTTCTTCACACGATGATTTACTGTGTTTACTGTGTCCTTCCCAGGAATAGTGTTTCATAACATCTATTTTATTTGATGGCATGCTCTAACTCATGACCAGGTTTCCTTAGAAATCCGCCGCATGAGGTTCTTTTGTGGGCTCTTAAAGCATTTCAAGTGTCCCCACGCTTGGCCCTGTTTTGTCCTTCCAACAACCCTTCGAGTAGGCCGTGTAAGTGCCCCATGGGTCATTTAACAAGCTTTGTCGCTGGGATTGTTTTGGACCCGGTTCTCCCTCTCTGGCCCTAGATGGATGCTCTTCCCACCACAGCACATCGCTGGCTTCCTCATTACCCCCGTTTCACAAACAGGGAAACTGTCAGGGCTCAGAGAGAAGGTAGTTTTCATGTGAGGTGCACCACAGGAAGTGTGTCATCATCTTCATGAGTGACACACGTCGATTCGGAGCCCGGGGGGCCAGAGGAACTCAGAAGCAGTCGCGGAAGGGGAGAGGAGAAGCCCTAACCCTGCGGCCGTCGCCACTGCGCTCCAGCTGCCAAGGGAAAGGAGGAGAGTCCGTTTGTCTGGTTCTGTTTCCGAATGCATCCCCAACCCCAGTGTTATGTACTGAGTTGAATAGGATCCAAAATGCAGCAGTCTGATTGGTCCTAGAACAATAGGATTCAGAATGCAGCAGTCTGATTGGTCCTAGAACAATGCAGCACTATGATTGGTCTGCAGGAGCCACCCAATACAGTTTCAGATGGAAGTGAATCCACAACTTGATTGGCCTACAGGAGAATTCTGGAATTAGCCAATCATGTTCAGCCCATTGTGTAAATAATGTATATAAAGCAGATACTTTGAGGGGACTTTCATTCCTCCTCACCACTATGAGTTGAATAAAGAGCATGAAATCCACTCTCGACTCTGAGTATATTTCACCCACCCTCCACCTTAACTGGACCCCAGTACCCCTTTTGTGTATATACAACCCCTCGTAAACACACATTTCCCCTGGCCCCACCCCTCTGATCTCGCAGATCTCTGCCTGCTAACCCCCTCCCTCTATGTGAACTGTCTGTCTGTTGGTCTATCCGCCTCTCTGCTTACCTGACCGCCCCCCCGCCTCGGCGGCACCGCTGAGGCCACTACGGAAACCCCAGAGAAGCTCTTAAAACACAGCCTAGAAGTAACACCAATGGCCACCTAATCCGAACGCTCTGTAAAAGCCACCAGTCAACAACGGCTGATCAGCTCAGCGACCCAACAACACCCAGGAACCACCACCGCTACAACTCCTAACCGCAACACGCCCTACTCCAAGAGGACGCCAAACAGACCTCAAACCCAAACCATTAAGGAGATTGAGATGACACCAAACAGGGAGATGGCAAACAGTGCTGAGACCGCAACACCCCTTCAAGATGACGACCATCCAGTAACAAAACGAGATCTGAGGGAAATGGAAGCGAGATTAGCCGAAACACTGAAGGCCACAGTGGCTCCCATGCAGGTATTAATCAACGATCTAACCTCCAAAGTAGAAGTTCTACAGAACAGGAACCAAATGCAAGAAAGAGCAATACCGAGAAGAGAACGCACGTTTGAATAAGAAACTGGATGAACTGATGAGTGACACACGTCAGAGGGCATAGTCAGCCAGGGCCTTCTGCTGTGTCTCCTGCTTTGCGTTACTTGCTATGAAGCAAGGTGTGCAAAACTACGTTATTCCTGTCGTGGGGCTGATGGGAGTTATAGTCCAAAAACCTCAGTAGACGCCAAGATGGTGAAAGCTGGGCTTAGCATCTAAGAGCAGAAATCCGCTCCCCTTCCCCGTGGGGAGGAGTTGCGGTGGACCGCGTGGCCACCCACTCCCCACCAGGGGCAGGAGACTTAGTCTCCACCGTGGCAGGGATGGACACATACAGGGGAAGTTCCTCAATCACATCTTGTTTAGCTGGCCAGTCAAACCATTCCTGGGGTGCGGCCGCTGTTACACGCTGACAGCTTCTAAGAGCCACAGGTGAGAGCTGAGTGGAAAGTTGGCATACAAATAAAATTATGAATGAATGGAAATCCGTTACTTTAGACCATCAGCACAAAATGTATACTTTGTCTCGGCATACAAGATGTTTTACCCCTGGCTCTTGGGGGTCAGAGAAATGGCTGTTGAGGGTCAGAGAAACTTTTCCAGGCTTCAGGTATAGGCCCCCAAATGACTAATCCATTTTAATAAACAAGAACAGGACGCTAAGGTTTCTTGAGAGGCCTGCAATCATGGTAAATGCAGCCTTCTAGCCATGGATACAGGGCGTCTTGCCAGGTCTTAATACACTTCCTGATGCAAATACCTGTCTGGAGAACTGCAAAAACAAGAAAGCTGTTAAACGGCCGGAAGACTACATGACATGGCTGGTGGTTTGGGTTCAGCTTGGTCGCTCACAGAGGGTCCAGACCTGATCTTTCCGAGTTTCCATCATCAGGGGTTAAATCAGGACTCTGAAGGACCCCTTGGTCCTGCTGTTGGGCACCTCTGGAGGTCAAGAAGAAGATGCTATTTATTTATTTTTCCAATTCTTTCCCTGTGCTAATATCACTGAGCACAAGGAATGGAAATAATGACGGTTAGGATGTTTTTATGTTCTCTCTTTTTCTTTCTTTCGGTAAAAGACTGAACACAGCTTTGGTTCAGCACAGCACCACTGCCCAAAGGGTTGGCTAAACAGATTGCCAGTTCCCAACATACCTGGGAAGCTTGTTTTCTCTTGCCCTGGAGGGTAGGACTCGAACCAATGGCGTCAAGTTACAAGAAAGGAGATTCTGACTAAACAGCAGGAAGAACTTACTGACAGTAAGAGCTGTTTGATGGTGGGACGGTCTCCCTTGGAATGTGGTGGACTCTCCTTCCTTGGAGGTTTTTAAGCAGAGATTGGGTAGCCATCTGGCATCGGTACTTTAGCTGAGATTCCTGCATTGCACGGGGTTGGTCTAGATGACCCTCGGAGGTCCCTTCCAACTCTACAATTCTCATTCCCTTCCACCAAGTTTCCCATTTATCCCCCAATCACTGTTCCTTGTCTGCTCAGTCCTCTTGAGCTGAGTTTTGGGGGTTCCTTTTACGTCCCCCCCGATATTTTATGTACTGGGTTGAATAGGATCCAAAATGCAGCAGTCTGATTGATCCTAGAACAATAGGATCCAGAATGCAGCAGTCTGATTGGTCCTAGAACAATAGGATTCAGAATGCAGCAGTCTGATCGCTCCTAGAACAATAGGATCCAGAATGCAGCAGTCTGATTGGTCCTAGAACAATAGGATCCAGAATGCAGCAGTCTGATCGGTCCTAGAACAATAGGATCCAAAATGCAGCAGTCTGATCGGTCCTAGAACAATAGGATCCAGAATGCAGCAGTCTGATTGGTCCTAGAACAATAGGATCCAGAATGGAGCAGTCGGATTGATCCACAGGAGCCACCCAATCCAGCTCCAGGTGGAAGTGAATCCGCAACCTGATTGGCCTACAGGAGAATCCCGAATTAGCCAATCACGTGGGGCCCATTGTGTAAATAATGTATATAAAGCAGACATTCTGGGGGAACTTCCATTCCTCACTACTATGAGCTGAATAAAGAGCATGAAATCCACTCTTGACTCCGAGTATATTTCAAAATACAAAAAGCTGTTTGTGTCCCTGCAGCTCTTGGGGTTCTCCCAAGCCTTCTGATACCACCTGCTTGTTGGGGGTGGGTGAGAAAAAGAGTGTGTGCTTTTGTGAGAGAGGAATGGGCTGGAGTCTCCCAGAAAAAAAGGCAAGCCTGCTATCCAGACTGCCACTATTTTGCAAGAGGGATTCAGTTGCACACTGGAAATTTAGGTTTATGCAATTACCAGTGGATTAAGGCTGGGAGACTAATCCTCCACTCCCTTCCCCGTGGGGTTTGTGGAGCAGCCGCAGAGGAAGGTGGGAGGGGCAGGATTATCCCTGGCCAGGTTTCAGGCTGTTGTAGGGAGCTGGTCTGGATTGGGTCTGGTGCCATGTCTCAATTGGGCGGAGGCTGGCTCAGGATCCAATGGATTCCAGGCTGGTTCAGCTCTGCCGCCTCCTGGGCCTTGAAATGCCTCATTTTGGGCCTATCTGTAGAAAAACTACTAGCTGGCCTCCCACTTGCCTACAGAGCATAGCTGTCAAGCGTCCCTTATTTGGTGGGACAGTCCCTTATCCCAGCGCCATGTCCCACTGCTGTCCCTTATTGATGATGTCCCTTAAATAAGCTACTGAAGGTAATGGGGCCTTTTCTATGTCCAGCTGTCCTTTGTCAACAACAAATTGTTGCTGTTTTTTTGTGTTGAATATATGCTATATGGTAATTTATGGACCTAACAGGTATCTAAAGCCATTTGCATGCAACAAAATATGTATTTTATCAAAGTAATTGTTGATCCCTTATTTTGGCTGCTGATCCCTTATTTTCGAGGCTGCTGGTCCCTTATTTTCAAATCTGCAAGTTGACAGCTATACTACAGAGAGATGCCTTGACTCCATCCAATCCCCACCCCACAGCCCAGTGCAAGAGCTTTGTGTTGGATTGTTCTGGTCGGATTTAAGCACAACAAATCCACTTAAAAGTACAACTTTCTTTCTTCTTTTTTTTTCAATTCGGAAAATGCATTAAGAAGCGTGGCACGGACCATCGATTGACAGGATGACGTATAACCTCCCTGCAACCAAATCAGGACGGATGTTCAATAAAGAGGGGCTGTCATGTAACTTCAGGGCAAGCTTTGTGAACAAGTCACCTGCAGGAGTCAAAGGGACATTTCTGCATTGCAACGTTTTTGCAGCAGGTCCTACCTGCAAATAGGCAATGGGTTTTATTTGGTCCTACTCAGAGTAGACCCATTGACATTAGCAGACACGACTAATGTAGGACCATTACTTTCAGTGGGTTTATTCTGAGTAGAACAGGTGTCAGCAAACTTTTTCAGCAGGGGGCCAATCCACTGTCCCCCAGATCTTGTGGAGGGGGGGTGCAGACTATATTTTTTTGGGGGGGAATGAATGAATTCCTATGGCCCACAAATAACCCAGAAATGCATTTTAAATAAAAGCGCACATTCTACTCATGTAAAAACACCAGGCAAGCCCCACAAATAACGCAGAGATGCATTTGAAATAAAAGGACACATTTTACTCGTGTAAAAACACGCCGATTCCCGTACCGTCTGCGGGCCAGATTTAGAAGGAGATTGGGCCGGATCCGGCCCCCCGGGCCTTAGGTTGCCTACCCATGGAGTAGAACTTAGCTGCCTGCAACCCAGTATTATGGACCTGCCTCAGGGCAGGCTTTCAAGCTGATTCCAAGGGAAGTCAAATGGCAGGGTGGAACCTGTGTTCGAATTATACCTTAAGTCTGATTGGTATGCCGGGCCGAGCTGGCAGTCCACTTAGTCAACACTTCCTCAGAGGTCAAACTCTTTGGGCAGAGCTATTGTGCCACATCCTGATCCAGGGAGCCTCAGCAAAGGAATTTAGGGACTAGGTTGACATTCACCATGACAATTAGAAGGAAGTAAATAATTGAGAACCAGACTTACATAAAGAGCTTATGCTTGACTGGGACTGTGCTCTGCTTGGCAGAGAAAACAACGTTCTGCCCTTGGAGGCTGCGTCCCTGAGAGCACCCTGTTATTTTCCTCCATAAAATTCAATAGGCGCCGTTTGGAGACTGACTTCGTTGCACTAAGAGTCCATTGAGAGAAATGCAAAATGTTAAGACTCTGGTTCCATTGACTCCAATGGGATCTACCATCTTAATTGTCGGAGGCTCAAAGCAGGTCATTCCCCCCCCCTTCCCTATGACTTTCCCTTACAGTGGTACCTCGGGTTACAGACGCTTCAGGTTACAGACTCCGCTAACCCAGAAATAGTACCTCGGGTTAAGAACTTTACCTCAGGATGAGAACAGAAATGGCGTGGCCACAGCGCGATGCCCCATTAGCTAAAGTGGTACCTCAGGTTAAGAACAGTTTCAGGTTAAGAACGGCCCTCCAGAACGAATTAAGTTCTTATCCCGAGGTACCACTGTCCATTTTTTAAAAAGTAAATTAAATTTACTTTTCATTTGTGCACGCAGAAACACCTCTCTCTCTCTCTCTCTCTCTCTCTCTCTCTCTCTCTCCAGCTGCATGTTCTATAACTGCCCATTGTTACTATGCCATTGCTATTTTGCTTTGCGTTTAGTATTATGTACTTTCCCTTTCTGTTCTGGCCTTTGGCTGACTCAGTTCAATCAATCAGCCTAATCTGATAGCTAATTCCCAGAGTCCTGTCTCTTTATCACCCTTTAAGAGAACGTGCTCTGGGCAGAAAGAACGGGGGGAACAGCTTGGGGGAGAAGTCTGGGCAGGCTATGTCCTTCTGGCACCTCAACTCCCACCAGGAGCAAGACAGCGTGAAGAAATAGACCAGGGGGCATATTGCCTCACTCCTCAACCTTCCATAAGCAGCTGCAATTTATTTTATTTTATTCCAATAATTTAGAGCTGCACCTTATTTTTTAATTTTATTTATTAGAATTTTATGTTGTCCTAAGATCTCGGGGTGGGGGGGTTCACAGAAGAAAACACAGGATATTAATTACAGCAATCTCTATGTGGTGTACAAAAAACCTGAAAACAAATATTGGTTAAAATGATAAAATCTGAATTTGGTTAAAATGAACACTGGAAGGATTTAGAACGTCTTCTTTAGAACGTCTGATCTCAGAGTGGAAGGAAGTTGCATAACTCAGGACAGACCATAGCTGTCAACTTACCGATACATATTTGAAAACAAGGGACCAGCAGCCTCGAAAATAAGGAATCAGCAGCCAAAATAAGGGGTTTTCCAAGCACAGGTATGTTCAACTTCTGAGCCCCTCCGAGCCAAAGGCAGAAAGCCCAGCCAGCAGCCAAACGAAGCCTCAAGCCCCACAGCGCAGCAACCCGGGCAAAGGGGATGCAGCAAGGAAAACCACTGTCACCTCTCCGCTGGGAAGCGCTGAGCAAAGGCGAGTCCCCAGGCAACGTGGCCGATTTGATCGGCACAAGGCATGCAAGCTCCACCCCCCAGTTGTTCTTAGACTCCTTATTGGGTGAGCAACGCAGCCAAGCAACACAGTTGGAGCCTCCCTCCTCCCTGGCCGGCAGGGAGGGAGGGAGAGGAGCTGCTTCCTTTGAAACCTGGGAAATTTAAGGGACATCAACAATAAGGGACAGCAGCGGGACACAGCGTTGGGATAAGGGAGTTTCCCGCCAAATAAGGGACGGTTGACAGCTATGGGACAGACTGTGTGGCAATATAGGCCGGCCCAGCCATTAAGCAAATTGGGATTACTCTGTTGTCTCATAGCCAGTAGGAACGGAGCTGCCTGTCTGGTCAGCTCTGGTATGTGGAATGGGGTTGGCCCTATCTTGTCCTTCACAAACACATCTTGGGCCTGCCTTGGTGGCAACAGGAAGGGCGCTCAGGAAGAAGGGTTGTGTACTGATCCTGCCAGGCCCCCCAGCAGCTGCTCCTTGAGGCCGTTGCCTCAGTTTACCTCATGTAAGGGCCGGCCCTGGGTGCACATCCCACTCTCCCTCACACATTGTCATGGACTGACTGGATGCAGCTGGGAGGCACGACCTGGAAAACCCTCAAAGCATGGGTAGGCAAACTAAGGCCCGGGGGCCTGATCAGGCCCAATCACATTCTCAACCCGGCCTGCGAACGGTCCGGGAATCAGCGTGTTTTTACATGAGTAGAATGTGTCCTTTTATTTAAGATGCATCTCTGGGCTATTTGTGGGGCATAGGAATTCATTCATTTCCTCCCCCCAAATATAGTCCAGTCCCCCACAAGGTCTGAGGGACAGTGGATTGGCCCCCTGCTGGAAAAGTTTGCGGACCTCTGCCTCAAAGGAACCCCCAGAGGAAGAAGGCTCAGAAGCAGGGGATTGGTTGTGGGATGGCAATGAATGGTCGGGGGAGAAGAGGGAGAAGACTGAGAGGTGGAGGTGCTGGAAGGTGAAGAGGTAACAAGGTTTAGTGAGCAGGAAGAGGCTGTGGCAGAGAGCAGTCCAGACTCAGAGGCAGAAGAGGAGGCTGGAGAGGAAGGGCCCAAGAGGCAGCAATGAGTCAGGCTAGTGAGGAAGCCAGGCTGTCTCCCATCCTGCTGCGATCAGCTCCTCTCCTCCTTGGTCTCCCAGGACCAGAAGAGGTGTGAAGAGGGAGGAGCAGAGATAGGCAAGATGAAGGAGCCTCAGATTGCATGGGAAGGAACTGGGGGAGGAAGAGACCATACCCTCCAACATTTCTGCAATGAAAATAGGGACGTCCCATTCCATGGTGGTAATTTTACTATTTATACACCACACACCTTACTGAGTTGCCCCAAGCACTCTGGGCAGCTTCCAGTATGTAGAAAAAATCATAATAAAACATAAAACATTAAAAAACCCTTCCCTATATAGGATTGCCTTCTGACGGCTCTGGGGTTGGATAATTCCATACCCTCCAACATTTCTCCAATGAAAAAAGGGACATGCTAAGGGGCGCGGGTGGCGCTGTGGGTTAAAACACAGAGCCTAGGACTTGCCGATCAGAAGGTTGGCAGTTCGAATCCCCGCGACAGAGTGAGCTCCCGTTGCTCTGTCCTAGCTCCTGCCAACCTAGCAGTTTGAAAGCACGTCAAAGTGCAAGTAGATAAATAGGTACCACTCTGGCGGGAAGGTAAACGGCGTTTCCGTGCGCTGCTCTGGTTCGCCAGAAGCGGCTTAGTCATGCTGGCCACATGACCCGGAAGCTGTACGCCGGCTCCCTCGGCCAATAAAGTGAGATGAGCGCCGCAACCCCAGAGTCTGCCATGACTGGACCTAATGGTCAGGGGTCTCTTTACCTTTACCTTTAAGGAAAAGCAAGACATTCCAGAATCAAATCAGAAACCAGGACGGCTTCTCTAAATCAGGGACATCCCTGGAAAATACGGACACTTGTAGGGTCTGAGAGACTTAGGGGACTGTGAGAAGGAAGGGGCCTTCAGTACAACTGCTTCACTGGGGCAAGACCTACTGGAAAGAGTTGCTGCGATCACTACGCCTGCGCTGTTTTGGCTTCATTGAGTAAAGAGTTAACTTTGCTGACTCCGTGTTTTTCATTGCTGACCTTCACCTGACACATGGAGGCATGGCTGATTTTTACGGGCCGTGTTCGGAGCGCCACACACAGGGACTCAACACCCACATTTCAAACAGGGTCCACAGTTAATGTCGATCTTCACATCCCTTTGCACACACACACAAAAAGCCGCAACCCTTGCAATTGGAACAGATCTGGACAGGAGCTACTAGTTCCAGCTTCCAGTGTGCTGTCAGCACCGACTATTTCTTCACTCGTTTTCCCCAAAGAGTGCTTTTGAGATGCCAGAATGATGTCCAAACAGACCTTCCTTTACCCGTAGGGAAGGCCGCGTGGGAAGCAACTTTGGCAACCTCCCCTCGCTCCGTGTTCCTTCAGCCTTGACAGTTACTCCCGGATGATTTACGAGCCTTGTTCGGTTGGTGGGGAAGAGGCTCCGCTTAACTCGCTCGTGATTCACAGCGACGGTGGGGGAATAATTCCTCGTTATCCTTATCGGGCAGAGGCAAGGAAGCCGATCACCCACCGTGGCTGCGGCTGCGGTGACAGGCTGCCAGCTGGCACCATCCTTGGGCCCTGCAAGGGGAGCGTTTGTCACCCGGGAATGCCCAACAGCTCCATCGCAATGCAGCCAGCATGTGAATGAAACGAAACGGGCAGCTGCGGACTGACGGCTCTGTATCCATCAGACAGAGGCTGCAGGGATTCCCCCAGGGCCAGTGGGACATCGGGGCGGGGGACAAGTTGTGGGACCACTATGGCGATCACACAGGGTCCATGGACGTTTAACGGTCTATTGATCCCTGTGCCTCCACTGTGCTCGCTTCCCCGCTGCCACCAACCCGTTGTTGTTGTTCCGTCATTTAGTCGTGTCCGACTCTTCGTGACCCCATGGACCAGAGCACGCCAGGCACTCCTGTCTTCCACTGCCTCCCGCAGTTTGGTCAAACTCATGCTGGTAGCTTCGAGAACACTGTCCAGCCATCTCATCCTCTGTTGTCCCCTTCTCCTTGTGCCCTCCATCTTTCCCAACATCAGGGTCTTTTCCAGGGAGTCTTCTCTTCTCATGAGGTGGCCAAAGTATTGGGGCCTCAGCTTCAGGATCTGTCCTTCCAGTGAGCACTCAGGCTGATTTCCTTAAGAATGGAGAGGTTTGATCTTCTTGTAGTCCATGGGACTCTCAAGAGTCTCCTCCAGCACCATAATTCAAAAGCATCAATTCTTCAGCGATCAGCCTCTTTTATGGACCAACTCTCACTTCCATACATCACTACAGTGGTACCTCGGGTTACATACGCTTCCCGTTACGGACTCCGCTAACCCAGAAATAGTGCTTCAGGTTAAGAACTTTGCTTCAGGATGAGAACAGAAATTGTGCTCTGGGGCCGCGGCAGCAGCGGGAGGCCCCATTAGCTAAAGTGGTGCTTCAGGTTAAGAACAGTTTCAGGTTAAGTACGGACCTCCGGAACGAATTAAGTACTTAACCCGAGGTACCACTGTACTGGGAAAAACAGCTTTAACTATACGGACCTTTGTCGGCACGGTGATGTCTCTACCAACCCGTTACTCTCTGGTAAAACACCGAGTCCAGACAGTTGTTAAAAGTGAACCAAAAAAACCAAGTTTATTTTACAAACATTAACAAGCTTATGGTTTCTCAGATAATATTCCTGTCAGTATCTTAACTTTAGTTTCTTTACCGGCTTAAACCTTCCTAATAACTTCTGACTGATTATCTCAACTGTTTTGACTGACTCCTCTTAACAAATTCTCTCCCTCTCTCACACCAGACTAGCCCAAACCACAGACTTATCTTCTCTGTCTCTTCTAACTCCAGACTGTCTTCTCAACCACCCTAACTCTAACTCTCCCCCAAAAACCCTCTGTGCTTAAACCTTATACACCGTTAACTCTGCCCCTTGGGTTCCCATTGGTTAGTCATTTTACAATTAGTTAACCCTTTCCTTATGAACCCAGTATGATGTCTCACACCTAGGAGGGCAAACGCCAGAACCACTTTGAAGCCAAGCACCATGGCGATGAGGAGCAATAGGCCAGTGGCAAGTTCAGAAGTTCAGGGTCCGTTTGTGAAGGCCACAGCATCGCCCTGCTGGCAACCGCATCCCCCTTTAAGCATGTACAAATTTCTAATATTCTACAGCAATCATATAAAGGTAAAGGGTAAAGGGACCCCTGACCATTAGGTCCAGTTGTGGCTGAATCTGGGGTTACGGTGCTCATCTCGCTTTGTTGGTCTAGGGAGCCGCTGTACAGCTTCCGGGTCATGTGGCCAGCATGACTAAGCCGCTTCTGGCGAACCAGAGCAGCGCACGGAAACGCCGTTTACCTTCCAGCCAGAGCGGTACCTATTTATCTACTTGCACTTTGACGTGCTTTCGAACTGCTAGGTTGGCAGGAGCTGGGACCGAGCAATGGGAGCTCACCCCGTCGCGGGGATTCGAACCGCTGACCTTCTGATCGGCAAGTCCTAGGCTCTGTGGTTTAACCCACAGCACCACCCGCGTCCTACAGCAATCATATAATTGCACAATCATTATAATTAGAGATGCATTGCAACAGCCCGTGCAGATTTCCTTGTGCTGCCTCTCAGGCACATCTATGTCATGGGTGCAGAGGAGTGGTGGAGGGCACTGGCTGCGGAACCTTCACAAGGAAGCAGGCTCAGAGACAGGGCATTAGATGATGATGAGTGGTCCGAGGGAGAAGAGGGAGCAAACTGGGGAGAGGAGGTGTTGGAAGCTGAAGAGGCGACAGGGTTTAGTAAGCAGGGAGAGGCTGTGGCAGAGAGCAGTCCAGAATCAGAGGCAGGAGAGGAGGCAGGCTGGTGAGGAAGCAATTGGGTCTCCCCCTCCTGCTGTGGCCAGGTCCCCTCTCCCCTAATTTCCCAGGATAAGAAGAGGTATGAAGAGGGAGGAGCAGAGACAGGCAAGATGAAGGAGCCTCAGATTGCCTGAGAAGGACCCGAGGGAGGAGGAGACTTAGAGAGCTGTGGGAAGGTGGGGACATTTTGTAGATACAGTGGTGCCCTTCAAGATG